CCAGTACCCACCTATGTTTAGGTTGGATGCTGTAAATAATATTATGTCTGCTCAGTGAAAATATTAATGGTTGGGGTTTAACTCAAAGGTAGCACATACTCAGCATACCCACGGCCATGGGATCCATCCCCAGCACCAAAACAAACATACAAATTGTGTAGATGTCTAAGTGAAGAGCAGTTCTATAGGAGAGAGGTGAGTTTTTTACCTTTTTTCTGTGGAAACCATTTCTGAGTGGATAAGTAATTGGAAGCTGTCCAGTTTGATTATAGGTATAAAATTAAACTATTAGCTAAATGTAGTGGCCTTAATAGAACAAAGAGGAACCAGTCAAAAAATTATTGACTATCAAGACTTTTAGATGGAGCTGACACAGTGACAAGCGATCACTGCAGCCTGGAGGAAGTTTGTAATATTCCTTCCAAAAGGAAGGGACATTTACACAACCACAACTCCCGCAGCTAGACCAGTGGAAAAGCTGATTTGCCTGTTATCCATCCACAAAATACAATTTCATCTAAAGAGGGCCCTTCCCTTCCAGGTGCCAGTGTTAGAGTCTAGAATTATCTGGAATCATCACAGCATTCCAGTTAAAAGGAAAACTTGCTCAGAGCAGGGCTGTATGTGGACTCACTAAGAAGATCAGTATAAGCCAAAAACACAGGTTAGGTTAGAGCAGGGAAACGGTCCAAAACCATTGTGAGTAACCCAAATGCCAGTGGTTCGTTAATTACAGGTATGCTTTTGTACAAATTCATTCTTCAGTAAGCAACATATATATATTCTTCTTGTGGATCATTCTCATTCTTTTAAGCATCCTTACAAAGACATCAAAATACTTTCTTGCTGATATCCTGCAAGTAGTTAGATTGATATTTGCAAGTGAATCTGTTTTTTTTTGTTGTTGTTTTTTTTTCTCCGGTATCGGGGACCGAACTCACGACCTTGCGCTTGCCAGGCAGGCGCTTTTGCCGCTGAGCTAAATCTCCAGCCCGCAAGTGAATCTGTTTTATCCAGTAGGAATTACCAGTAGAGAACAGTGCTTAATCAAGGCTACTCTCAGGCAAGTATTTTGTATACCTAACTGTAAAACACATAGTGTGCCAGAAATATGGGAAAGGGTGGTCTCACAGGACCTTCTGAGGCTGGGGATATAGCTGAGTGACACAGCACCTGCCTGGCAATTGCAAGGTCCAGAGTTCCATTCCTGATAACCACCGCCCCTCCAAATTTTCTTCACAAAAGCTGCCCCAAACTCTTCTGGTATGGTTCTGCTGGATCTTATGATCTGCCTCTGAGTTGTCCAAAATTCACCTATCAGTATTACTTGGGAGTGGAAATGACATAGCCCCGAAGAACGTGGTTCTGATGTCTTATAATGGGGGTTTCTCCCAGTCTTTATCATCCCAATCCTATCCTCATAGTTTTTTTGATGCATTTAAATAGGATCAATTTCCTTGGAGAGGGTATGCCTGTGGGTCTACCGTTATTGCGTATTTTTTGAAACTCCATAAAACAGGAATTCATTGTCTGTGCTCTACTGTGGGTGTCAGAGCTGGGTTGACTTTAGTAGACACAGGTGGGTGTAGACCAGGGCTTCAGCATTTTTCTCTCAAGGACACACCTTTGAACCTCTGCTGTGAACACATCAGCTTCCTCTTCCCTCGTAGACATCAAGCACCTCTGGCAAATGCACATCTGCCTCCTTTATTGATATTCACGGAGGTGGGAAGAGGGTGGTTTTTACTGACATTGTCTTCATTTCCTCATTCAAATGTTAGCAAAGGGTCACCCACAGGAATAGAGAAGCAGAAGGGGACACGTCTCAGGGGTAAGGTGGGTGCTTGCCCAGCAGGAGCAAGGCCTCAGGTATGATCAACAGTACCACAAAAAAGGGGGAGAGAGAGAAAACCAGACCAAACTTATAATGGACTGTCACAGAATTTGAATGACATTAACAAAAGCAAGTGCTTGGAGACCTAGAGCTGCCACTGGGTTTATTACAATAATATGTGCAGTTTGTTAAATAAAATATGCCCCTCATTATATGCCAGGGCCACTGGTGTAGTTTCAATGAAATGGAATAGCCAAATTGTAGCTCTCATGAAATGGAGTAGGGAAATTGTGTGTGTATGTTTGTTCTTTGTTTGCTTTTCCTTTTAGCAACTCCATATTCCAAATCTAAAACCAAAACCAGCCCCCTAAGCCCAAACACCTCATCTAGAAAACCCACACAAAGGAGCTCAAAGAGCTCCAGAAGCCTGCCCAGAGTAGCAGGCTACCTTCAGTGTGGCCAAAGTGGGTGCTGGGGTCTCCACTCAGCCTGGTGGTAAAAGCAGAATAAGACGGGAACAGAAGCCTGCAGCAATCTGTCCAGAGGGGCTCTTTGCAGTGGCTTAGCCCTAAGAGGCCCAGCCTGAGTGCCAGGTAGTGTCAATGGCTTTGTCAAAGCACTCTGTCCACCTGGCATCCTGAAATGGGTGCCAAGGGCCTCTTGGGAGACCAAAAGACATCCAGAGAGCAGAAAGCAGCTCTCGGCACATCAAGATTGTGTGTCTGTAATAAACACTTTCAACACAATAACCTTGACTTGCATGCTGGTCTTTTTTTTTTTTTTGGTTTTTCTCCTGTACCAGGAACCGAACTCACGACCTTGCGCTTGCCAGTCAAGCGCATGCTGGTCTTTTGGAAACTCATTGGGTGACTCTAAGATGTTGGTTTCTTAGTAAAAACTAGAAGTTAGTAATCTGCATTATGATGAAGAGAAATTTGATACCTGCTTAAAAAAGTCAAAGTGGCCGGTGATCAGAACTGGATTAACTCTCAAACGGTCAGAAGATTTTCCTCATCTTCCAGCAAGGAAAGTTGAAGCATATCTGTGACAACTGATCAGTATTTGAAATTCGTATTTACAAGCATTGCAGTATGTTTGATTCACCTTTGCGGTCCCCTTTTGAAAGAGTGCTGCTACTATTCCCTTGATAAAGGAGAGGGATCAGTGATGTAGCTGCAGATCTAAGGCTAAACACAAGGTGCCTGCTCACTCATTCAACCCTATAATGAGCCTTCTTCTCTGGGAGGAAAACCAAGCTGAGTGAGGCCTTTGTATGGAGAAAAATCTTGTTTGTGTTTAAATAACTGTAATGTAAAAACAAAAACAAAAACAAAAACAAAAACAGAAAAAAGAAAAAGAAAATAAAACAGACACCTACATAAAGCATTATATCTTTTTCTACATTTATAGAAATAATTTAGATCAGGTACAGGTGCAACATAGATGGGTGGCTATAGTTATTATATTGGCTTTTGGTTTAAAAATTAGAAAGTATTTTATATACATACAATAAAAAAAGGATATTATCCAGCATCGACCCTGAGTCAGTAGGAAAGAATGCCTATTTGTAAAGAAAGTAGATTTGCATATTTTCTCTTTCTATCACTGTGCAATCTTGAACTAGTATATCTTTTTCCATGTGTAATTGCTATGAGATTTCCTGCCTGAGGACTGCCAGGAATTTGTAAAAAATTATATAGTGCAGAAGTTCTTTGAAAGAGGATTTTGGGACCTGGGCTTGCTGACTCTAAGTGGAGCTCACAAAGTACACGTGGCTTTTTCAAGCAGAAACTGGTCTAATGCTTTGAAGAATGCAAGAAATGATCAGTATTTCAGAAGCATGGAAGTGTGAATCTATTCATCTATACTAGACTCGTAAACTCTTAGGTAGACTCCTTTCTAACTAGAGTTTGGAGTTCCCAGAGCACTGTAGTAGAAAGTTTAATATTTCTTTTCTAATTCTGCTGTGTCAATACTCAGTATGTTTTAGATTTTTCTAGTCATGATTCCTGCCGGTCCTTGGTTACCGGAAAAGTCTCACAACATATTTGTTTGCTGTAATTAGAGCAGATGCACCCTGACTCTTTTCTTAACTTGGTGCTAGGTGAGGATACCGGGCTGACCCTGTGTTGCTCATAATTAGCCAGTGGACTTTTGAAGTGACAACATTACTTTAGTTACTCACAGCTGATACCTGAAGGACTTCCAGGATAGTTGCTGGGTGCAGAGGCAGAATCATGTTTAAATCCCATAAACATGTACAGTTTTTATTGTAAAAGTTAAAAATCGAGCATGATTTAGCAATAATGGAAAAAAAAAATCACATTCACTCACAACACAATGGAGTATGGATCCTGGGCTGAGTATATAGGATGTGCTTAACTTTGGACGCCAAAATGCAGGACCTCTTGCAGAGCACTCATCTGGCTGTAATCCCTCCCTCCCTTGGCTGGGACAGGGCCATGACTATGGTGCTGAAGAACAGAATTCCCCATGTCCCTCAATCTCAAATCATACACACAAAGCGCTCTGCCCTCAGAGTTAAGAATCTTCATCTAGGAGTTTTCCTGGTGGTACTCTGCTCATGAGAACAAAGCCCAAGATTCCCTGTGTTCTGTTAGCCCTCGTGAGATGCTGCTCTGCATTGGAGCTGCCTCCACGTAGGCGCAGGTCCTCTCCCACCCCTAAGTCTCTCAGCCCACTCTGATTTTCCAAGCTGGTTTGTTCCAGCCTAGAGTTTGCTTCGTACCGGGCTCAAATGTTTCCTTCACACGAAAGCATATTGCCTTTCCTCTTCCCTGCGAAGGAAGGTGCCTTAACAGGATTGCAGATGAAAGTAACAGTGCGATCCAGTCCTCCCTCTTCCTGTTCCTGAGGGTGAGTCAGTCTTCTTGCCTTATCCTTAATAACAAATAACAGCTGATGGCAACTTGCTGAGACATGTACGAGAAGGAAAGAAACCACATATGAAAAGATTGGGGCCTTGTCTGTCTGTCCCCCTCTCTTCCTCTTCTCCCCCTCTTTTTTAAGAGCAGGGAAAGAGAAAGAAAAGTGTCCAGGAGAGGGGACCTTGTTCTAATGATCAGCTTGTACAGCAGGGTTCCTTTTTTCCAACCTAATGAGGTCCAATCCCCACCAGCATTGTGATTTATTACCTGCCTTTCTGGACTGTTTCCTTCGTGTGTTTATTATTTTCATATTCATTTAGCATAACACTTGCCACGATTTCCCTGCCTGGGTTGGGGGTCCCTATTTTCAGGAGTGGTTGTGGGGTGGGAGGGACTTTCTCCTGTGAAACAGCACACTCCATTCTGTTACCAGAGTCCATCTTCAAGCGGAGGAACATGTAGAGGAAAAGGTTGATTTGTGTTGGAAAGCTCCATGGTGCCGGCTGGTGTTTCACGCACCACCTTCAGTCCTGTGGCAGAGGGTGCTCCTTCAGGGCTGCTGAAGAGATACAAGGCTTGTCCTCCAGCACCTTGCAAATTTTGTTTATAAGTCTCAGCTTCACGGGTGATGATCTCTGGTGATTTAGAGTCACATATTTGCTACCTCTAGAGCATTTGTTCAAAATAATTCTCTCTCGCTGCACAATAATCAGCTCCCTCTCTGAGCTGATCCAACAAAGTCTTGAACTCTTAGAGGACAGGTGTTTTCTGATGGTACCTGGTCAGCATATTCAGGGGTGGGCAGGGTGGCCACCCTTAACAGAGGATGGCTGCTTCCCGGAAGTTCCAGCTCCAGCTCCTGCACCAAAGAGAAAGATTTCCTCTCACTTCCCCTCCTGTGCTACGGCAATGGTGGTGGCCACCTCATCCCTCCTCCTCACAGCCCTCCTCAGGCCTGGGCAAAGTCAGTGCCTTCGGCTGCATACTCTTCCTTAGGGGAGGTGATCTTTTCTGGGGCTTTCTTTCAATGAGTCACATTTTAAAATCATTTTTCCCTGGTGTCAAACACCATAATATATGTTAATTACAGACGATGTAGAATGTATAGAACAGTGCATTGAAGAAAACCGCCCACATTGCTATTACTCAGGGAGAAATGCTATTACTTTATTAGGGATATTTGGGGATAATCTTTTTCCCTTTTTTATTTTTTTAATTTTGGGGGCATATAGTAGATTTTTTTAAGTGATCCATGCTTTTGATTTATTTGAGAATATACATACTAATTTGAGTCTTTATCTGATTGTATCCAAGCACATAATAGATAGAAGCCAAAGGCATTTAGGATATAGGGAAAATACTTAAAATCTGGGACCTAAAATCACAGGACCTGGAAGGTTAGGATAGAAAAGGAAGGGGACAGAGATGAGGAAGTTATACTGGGTGGCCACACAAGAACAACCCTGGTTTGATTTCAAGTCAGAAAATCTGGTTCCTGCTTGTGCTAGCTGGGGAGCCTCCCTGAAACTCGATTTCTTAATCTGAGAAACAGAACTCTTGCTTTACTGGGTTGTATTGATGATTCAGTTCCTTAACTGAGGTACTGTTTGAGAAAATGCTTTGCAAACGAGCACCGGAATCAGGCAATAATATTCTAATGAGAAAGGTGTTCAGACTTGGCCATGGTGATTCAAACGAAATCAGGGTTAATCAAGCAAGAGGTGGCTGGCAGAGGTATGTGGTGTGGGTGAGCAGAGAAAATGCTTAATTGGCTGCCTAAAATTGAGGGAGGGTGATGCATCTGATAGTTAATGTACACTTTGAGTTAAGATGGTTATCCAGCCTGGAAATAGGATTATTTGTACAGGAGATTTTATAGTAGGGAGGCAGCTTAGCAAGGCAGCTATTTGCCGCTCTGAGCTGGTCACTCTTGCTTCTCTGTCTGTGTATTTTTAACTCGGTGAGTGCATTCTCCTGTAAAGCTAATATGTTTGCTCTCTCACCTAAGAGACTCTTATCAGACTTTTACTATGGATTACAGGCCTTCCTATCAGGAATTTTCCTTGCATTTACACAGGAGGGGACAGGACAGGCATAGCTCTGTGTTTTAAGCAACAGATAAGGTTTGTCTGCTGTGTGTGCAGAGAAGGGAGGAAGGGGAAGTGGGGAGCAGTTGGCTAGAGGGCGCGGCCTGGGGAAGGTGGATAAACACCATTATTAATACGTGAAAGAATTTCTTTGTCTCTACCCAGGAGCCTCATAAATTGGGGAAATATTGAAGGAGGGGTTTTAGGAACTTTCGTGTCAGATTGCTTCAGTCTAAACCTTGCCTTGACCATTACTTAACGCTGTGACAGGTGATTCAGTGCATCTTTTCCTGCCTCAATTTCCACTTCTGTAGACTGGGAGGAACTATAATATGTAACTTCATATGACGGTTGTGAGATAAACAGCACAGAAGCTCTGGATAGCACCAGCATGGATCCATGCCAAGTTTGGGATCGGTCCTTAGGAAGAATTTGAGAAGGAGGCCCTAGGAAGGCAGGAACACCTTGTCCTCCCAGGGTCTGCGGTCTGACTGCATGTGGCCTTACCTCCCCATGGGGCTTGGGGTGACTGTACCCAGCTGTGAATATCTAGGGATGGGAAGGAGAGGTCTCACTGAGCTCGAAGTGTGGTGTCTGTGTCCTGGGGGCTGAATCTTAGCCTAAATCTGTAACTGTGAAGGTCTATCCAGAGCCTCTTCCAAGGACTATGTCTGTCTTACCTAGCTCTTCCCAGGGTCATAGTTATGTATTTCCGTTTTTCTGTTCCATTCCTTCCAGTGTTTTACAGTGAGAGACCGGGCAGGTGGGCACATGCCGTGGACATTAATTAGAGGCATGTATCAGTCTCAGGAGGGCTTCACGTGTAGAACAGGCTTATTAATAAGCTGTAAACCAAGCAAACACAGTGAATTTAATCAATTTCCCCAACATCAATGTTACTTTCTTATGTCTTCCTAAAGACAAGCTAGTAGACCCACACTTGTAAACAGACACATGTGTGTGTATGTGTGTGTACTTTCTTGATCTTAAATCCTGTTATCTGAGCACACAGGGCCAGAGTGGAAGGTTTCAAGGCACGGGAGCATCACGTCTGTGGTTCTGGAGTTAAATTGCCTGGATTGAAATTCTTAGTCTGCCACCTATTTGCCAAGGGCGCTCCAGCAATGCTTAACTCTCCAAGCCTCTGTCTTCTTAGTTTAAATGGGGGAACATTTTCCTTTATTGGTAAAGCTGTTCTAAGTATGTAGTGATATTATTGCTGAGCCATCATCATTCAATGAATATTAGTCATAAATATTTTTAGAATATTCTAAACGTCAATTTGACTTCTAATTTGGCCATTTAACTACTTGGAATCTTTGCTGAATCTTTGTTTTCTTACTCAGACAATAAAAGGGGGAAAACAGCCTCTAAGTCAGTTGTAGAGGGATTAAATACTACATTTCCCAATAGGGAGAAGCAGCCCCTAAAAGTTTGCAGTAAGTGCTTTGGTCTTGTGTGTCCACTGATAGCCTCTTTTTCTCAGCAATAGTTTTTCAAGGAATCGCAATATCAAGCAGAGACATTCTTGCCAGAGGATCCAGGCTCTGAGTTCCTAAGAGGAGCCGGGGACATCGAGTAGTGACACAATTTTGAGTGCTATATCTAGTACGGTGGTGGGCAATTTTTCATTAATCCTCATGTGCCGTAACCCCATTTCATAGAGGAATCCATAGATGAGTCGCATTTCACATCTCACTGCTTTCCAGTGACAGCTCCATCATTTAATTCATGTGTGTCTGGCGACCAGCCTAAGCCTGTGTTTAACCACTGAACAGTTCTGCCTTCCCTGATGAAACCGTGGGAATGGCGTGACCATCAGCAGCGTTCCCTCTGCCGAGACTAATGGGCTTAAATAAAGGGCATATCACGCGTTCACCTCCCTTGTCTTGTTTAACTGAAAGGTAATTTAGGGAGCATATGATAACTCGTTTTCCTGTGCAGCTCTAATACCTCGAACCATGAGTCAGAAAATTAACCTTTTAACTAAATATATACGTTGAACATTCAGACTCATACCGGTTTTCATTCTCCTAAATGGGAAGTTTCATGCAGGCTAATGGAAGTCCTCTCCGGGTACATTGCAGGGACAGATGACTTGAAGTTGCTTTGCCCAGAGGCTATTGTGAATGCCAGCCTTTTTGACAGATTGGTCTAGTTTACATCGTCAATTTTTATCACATTCTTCTATGAAATAGAAATTTCTATCAGGGGCTTGTAATTTGGTAAGCATTGAAAATAGTAAGCTCTTGCAGAGGCTGTAAAATTATATATTTGTGGATTTATAGAATTTGCCTCGTTTTATCCCCCTCCCCACTCCAGGTAAACGAGACAGTAAATAGGACACTTGTGAGGATATAAAGGTTATAAAAATAGGATCATTACCTGGAAAATTTAATTTTAAATCCTTGAATTGGGAAACACATGCCTTAAAAATGAGCATGTACAGTTTCTTTCATGGGCAGTAGCCATAAAATGGTCAAATTAAGTCAAGGTTTTGGACGCTAATAAACAGCAATTGTGTGGCAACTGACCCACATTGGGGTTGGTAGTTCTTATTGATCAGTGAGATGTTGAAATTGGGGAGAAGTCCAGTTACTCCAGGGAGTGTATACCCCTGGATTAAGTAAAGACATTAAGATATATTTAAAGTTATGTAGGTGGTTAGGCAGTTTTGAAATAACTAGGTATAATATACTTCTTGTCTTTTCTAGTTTGTGCCTCCATTTTGGCAAGTCTTCGTTAGGAAATTATCATTGTTTCCCAGGTAACATTCATCCTGTAAGGGTAGTTATAAGACTAACTTAGTGAGTTGTTACAACCTACACCAAGATTTAATATGGACTCACCATTGCATGCCTTCCTATTCTCATTTTCCTCTCAATAAAAAGACCGTAAAAGATAGAAAAACCCTGGAGAAATTATAAGACGCATATAACTCACCACTTGTTCTATTGATTATGTACAGGTGATTACATTTTCTCAAGTTGAAATTTTTTCCTTTCTTTTACCCAGAAACCTAGCATTAGAGTGTGCTCAGGCAGAATCTGATGGGTTTCACACTCCCTGTTGCTAAGAAGTACAGTTAGCTACATGCTGGTGCACTCTCTTAATCTCAGTGACTCTGGAAGCTGAGGCAGGAGAATTGCCAGTCTGGGGAACTTAAGGAAAGAGTATCTCAAAAAAAAAAAAAAAAAGAGAGAGATTGGGAAAATAGCTCAGTGGTAGAGCAATGCTGGGCCTGATTGCCTACTATCAGTCAATCAATCAATCAATCAGGAAGTTTGCATCTAGCAGGAGAGGAAGGAGGGCACAGAGGAGCTGGAAGCCTTCGCTCTTGAGATTTTCTCTGCATCTCACTTCTGCTTCCCCACTGTGTTAGTTTTCTGTCACAGTGATAAAATCCCTGAGAAATTAAAGGAGGAAGGTTTATTTTCGCTCACAGTTTTAGAGGTTTCAGCCCACGGTCAGCTGGCTGTATTGGCTTAGACCTGTGGCAAGGTGAAAGATAAAGGGCAAGGAGGAAGAAAGCTATTCACCTCCAGACAGCTGGAAAGCAGAGGTGAGGGGGAAGAGCCAGAGACAAAGAAGCGGAGGTCCATATAGGTGCCGAGACTGCCCCCATGATTCCTGCTTTCAGTGAAGTGTCCCCTCTCCTGTTTCTGTCTCCTCCAAATAATGCCATCACATTGTGACCTCAGCAATGGCTAAGTCCACCTGATGAACTTAGAACTGCCATGATTCCGTGCCTTCCCAAAAGGCCCATCAGGAGGCAGCCAAGCCTTTAGCTCATGAGTTTTGGGAACTGTGTTAACAGTGCCTGTCCTGGTGCCTGGAGAGGCCCAGTGAATGCTAGTTCTCTTCTTACTCCGAGTTTCTTGTAGACCATCTTGTTTTATTCCTTTTCTCCTACTGCCTCTGAGATGTGGTATTTGCAAAGTTTTTCCTAAGCTTTTTTTCTGAATGTGTGGTTTATGTAATTCTGTGACTCCTGGGCTTTTTACAGATAGTTTCCAGCTCTCTGCTTAGTAGTTGCTGCCCAAATGCAGCCCTCAAACCTCTTAGGACCTCTTGACGTTATGCCCTTCCTTCTTCCTTCCAAACCCAGAACCTTTGCTTCCATTCCCTATTTTGGTTATAGTACCTCTGCAGTCTCTCGAGTCTGGTCAGGTAACCTCAGAGTATTTATTTATTTATTGCTTTACTTATTTATTTATTTTTAAGACAAGGTCTCACTGGGCAGTTCAAGTTGGCCTTGAACTTACTATGTGGCCCAGGTTGGCCTTGAACTCACAGCGATCCTCCTGCCTCAATCTCCTAAGTACCGGGCTTACAGGCATGCGCCACCATGCCCAGCCAAGGCTGGTTTTAATCCTACTTTTAAAATGTTGATAACCTGTGACATCTAAACAGAATGGAAGTCTTCCTGTGGCATGTCTTTTTTGTTTTGGGCATTGAACCCAGAGCCTTTGGGCCCTGAACCCAGGGGCTGAGCTATATCCCCCAGCCAGCCCATTCTTTATTTTTAGACAAGCTCTTGCCAAGTTGTCAGGACTGAACTGGAATTTGTAATCCTCCTGCCTCAGCTTCCAAAAGTTCTGGGATCATAGGCCTACACTACTGCTACTGGCTTGCACCAGTCTTGAATAAAGCTTACTCAAGGACAAATTTGTAGTAAAATTGATAGCTTGACGTTAGGTCATGGGTCTAAGAGGTTAAGAGCAGGGAAGGAATCGTGTCCTTGGGTTAATACCATACATAGAACGAACCTTTTCTGTGTGTGAATCAGAATATCATCACTTGTTTTTTCAAATAAAACTTCAACATACTTTTAAAAATATAAAAGCAAGTGTGATACAAAAGAAGATCCATAGAAAATTTCAAGTAGATGTGGATGATATGAAGGTTAATAAAATGCAAATGTATTTTAAAGAGTTACTGAATGTGTAGTAGCATTTTTTTCATGGTATACTTTTTTCAAAAGAATAGGTACTAAAAGTGGAACTGTCAAGAGGGCTTCATCAAAATGTCATAATGTCATATTATGAAACGTGAATTTGATAATGATTGATGACTTTCATTTGTGGAGAATCACTAACTTATAGGGAAGCATCAGATGTTACCTGAATTTTCAAAGAATATGATTGTGAGAGAGAGAAACTGCAATTGAAATCTCAAAGCACTTGATAAGAGTTTTAAACTCTTCCTTCTAAAGGCAAATTTATTAGATTCAAGATAAGACAATAGAAACAATAGAAGCTCTGGTGTGTGTGTATGTGTGTGTGTGTGTGTGTAACGTGTACCTGTGTATACATTCATGTAGTGAAGGGGCTGTTATTCTCTGGGTCTGCCAGTGGCTTGGTGAATAATAAAGGAAGTGGATAGTATATTTGAATTCTATTTCTGAATGCTCCTTGGAAGGGGTGGCTTTAAAGTACCAGGTATGGATTTCATTCCTTACCTGTTCTCGATTGGAGAAGTGTGAGAGCTAATGGTGACGCACTCTGGCTTGGCTTGAGTGTGTGAGGAGTCTGTGGGCCTGATGAGGCTGGCCCTGGAGGCTTTTGGTTCCCTCCACCCCGAGTTTGATGGTGTACACACTGGGGGGCAGTTGAAAGATTTAAACACAGGAACGACACCATCATCATAAACATGTAACTTGCTTTTTCCACAAAGTCAATATTTACAAATGAACTTTAAATTCAGCTAATCTCCAGTAAAGGAAAGGAGAGTGGGACTGAAAAACTGTACTGGAATTGAAAACGCCTTGGTCCAAACAGATGGAAAGGGCAAGGCTTGGTTGTGTTGGAGGGAGCTGCTTTTTGGTTTGGGGTCTGCGCTGCCTCCCGCAGTTGAACAGTTGTCTGTTCTAGACTCTGCGCTGGGCTTTTGATGCTCTTCATTCCTCAGTCCGGACAGGGGCTCCCTTCCTAAGGGACTGGCATTCATACTGTGGAAGAATAGGGTCTCCGAGGCAGGGTCTCTTTGCAGCCAGAGCAGAAGAACAAAGTTCTACTCCGTGGCCTGAAGAGCTAACAGAAACGGGTTTTCTTAAAGGGAGTAGTCCCTTCCTTTCCTCAGATCCTTGCTTGGAATCACCACCTATTTTTCACTCCCCATAGCATAATAAGATCAATGCCCACACTGGTACCCCTAGATCCAGACCCAAACATGTCTTTTCAGAAACTGCACTTCTTTTGAAGTGCTCCTGCCTGGGATCCCAGCCCTTGGGAGGCTGAAGCAGGAGGATCACTGAGAGTTGAGACCAGCCTGGACTGCAGAGCCAGATCTTGTTTCTTTTTTTTTTTTTTTTTCCCTTTTGGTCTTTTTGAGACACGGTCTTGCTATGCAGTTCAGTTGGCCTTGAGCTCACTTTGTAGCCCAGGCTGGTCTCAAACTCGCAACAATCCTCCTGCCTCAGCCTCCTGAGTGCTGGAATTTACAGGCGTGCGCCACCACACCTGGCCAGCTGTTGTTTCAAATAACAAACAAACAAAGTGCACTGAGGAAACTTGGCTTCCCTTGTAGGAATTTGGTATTCTTGGCTTTGTTGTACATCATATTTTGTTTTTTCTTGCCCTTTTGCATGATTTTTAAAATAATGCTTTTAAAGTGCGTTTACAGGCACTTGAGCTGTTATACTGTACTCACTGTTTTTTGGTTAAAACATGAGGCTGCTTTGTTAGTAAAGGCGTTTTTTTTGCCAAGTGAATTGTACGTGGGAGGGTGTGACCCACTCAGCGAGGGCCTTATCTCTTATCCTATCTGCCTGCCTTCCCAAGGCTGCCTTTGACGACTTACTTCTTCCCTCACCAGCACCACCCCTTCCAACTTTGTGGCCTCTTTCCTCTGGACATCATTCCCATCTGAATATTTTAACATTTCAAAACTGTCCTGCTCTCTGGATTCATTTGCTGATGGGGGATCAGAGCATCTTTTCTTGAGTGACAAATGTGCTAACAAGACAGCACAAATACTCTGCTTCCTGAGCTCCTCCACCCTTCAATATTATCAGCAGGATTTCTTGCCTGCGGTGTTGGGATTGTCCTTTTTCCCTCAGCAACTTTCAGCAAAAGCCAGTCATGTGAGGCTAGTTGAAGGGAATCTAAATCATAATGGTAATAGGCCCAGGAGTGTAAACCTGAGATAATCTTTGAACAGCTTGGCTTAT